TTCATGACTCAGATTTCAAGGACTTCAGGTTGATCTGCTCTTGTTTCTAGAGATGAGCCCATTCGGCACATTTTGTGTGAATGGAATCATACCAGAGGTGACCCGTTTTTTTTTTTTTTAAGTATGTGTTTGCAGTACATAATGTTTACATTGCTCATGTGGAGTTGGTACTTTTTTAACTGGTTTCCTTCACATAGAGTGACGTTTCTCAGGGTCTCCCACATGGTAGTATTATCAGTAATAACCAAATATTCAGCCATGTGTGTGTCCCACATTTTAGTTTCTCCATTCACTGGTTGACAGACACTTGGTTTGTTTCCAGTTTGGGGCTGTTGTGGTTCATGCTGTGAACATAGGCTTGGTGTAAGCCTTGGCATAGATGACTGTGTCCCTTCTTGGGCAGACAGTTGGTGGAATTGTTAGATCTCACAACCAGTTGACTTTGGGAGAATTATTCCGCTTTTTCCAGAGTAGCTGCAGCATTTTCCTCTTCAGTGGACTGTGCATGAGCGTTCCCATTTTCTCTATATCCTCTCTTAACACTAGTTCACAGTCCATCTTTTTTATTATAGCTGTGTGTTTTTTTGAGCACAGGGCTTTGCTCATCCTCCCCTACTGAGCTCCTTTACCCTTGTAAGTGACGCTGGAGACTGGTTGTGATCAGATAGATAAAACTGCTGTAGCTCAAGAGACCAGATCATGGTGGTAGGAGTAGGTCTGGAACCTCACAGTGGGAGGCCAGACTTCTCTCCAGGAGCGCAGAGCGTATCTGGCGCTCTCCACAAAGCCCCCAGGGAGTAGGTTACAGTGCAGATACAGTATGTAGAGTTCAGAGAGGAGCACCTAGGGAGGCCCTGCTGCACCTTCTGGGCCTGGGATGATGGTGGATGTGGAGGATGTTGTTTACCAGGAGGCAAGTGAGGAGGGACAGAGCATTTCCTTCTTTGGGCAGTTGAGTCATGGCCTCCCCCAGGGCAGGGGTGGGTGAGATCATGCCCTGTGGTCATCCATCACTGGTGGCTCATCTGTCCTTATTGACTGCAGAGGAAGCAGGACAGTGCTTGGTCCTCAGCAAAGCCATTATGAGGGATGCCTGGGGCTGTGCTCAGCACGTACCCCTAGCTGGATGTAGACCTTCCCCAACCCTTCATCCCTTCCCTGGGATGGACGTGCTGGCTGTTTTCTACACAAGCCTCTCGGCAACTGTCCACTAGGGCCACTGATCACATTTGTTCTTCCAAGGCCCCCACCTTGCCCAGCCCCTTTGGGAGATGAGCGCTGGCCCAGGCTGTCCTGTCACTTGGTGTGAGCACCCCGGTACCCCGTACCGCAGTGGACACATTCTTCATGGACACTGCAACTCCAAGGGCACTCTCAGTAGCATCTGGCATTTCATTTTCCCTTAACGAGCAGTTCCTAGCTCTCCCAACCCAAACTCTAGTTTTTCTACATCCTAGGGAGGGGTTAGTCAGCCTCTCTCTCCCTCCTTCTCACTGCCTCCCCTCCCTGTCCCTCTCCACATCCCATCCCCTCACGTTCGCTTCCTTTCCCTCCTTCCCACTCCCTCCTCTCACCCTGTCTTCCCTCCCCGTCTCCTCACCCACCCCCTGCTCTCTTCTCCTGTCTCCCCTTTCCCCCTTGCCTCTCCCCTGACACTTGATTTTTTTTTTTGAGACAGTCTTGTTAAGTTGCTATAAGTTCTTGGCGTTGAACTTCAATCCTCTTGCCTCAGCCTCCTAAATAGCCAAGCTTACAATCATGCATTAAAGGGCTGAGGATGTAGCTCAGTGGTAAAGCACTTGCTTAGCTTGTGCAAGTCCCTGGGTTCAATCCTCAGCTCCATAAAAAAACAAAAAATAAATCCAAGCCTCTTGCTTGTTTCTCTGGTACTTTAAATAACTATGAGAGAATGTGCCGCCCTTGAGGGCTACTTGGGCTTAGTCTGTACCAAGACCAGGGACTGATCATTGAGTTCTTCTTTGTGCAGTTTCTGCTCTGCTAAGTACATCATGTTCTTTGGGGCTAGATGCCTAGAGGCCACACCCCAAGCAGGAGATAGGGGCCAGGTGTGGGTGGGTGCTAGATGTCAGTACGCAGGAGCAGATAGTGCTGGACTCCTGAATAGGGCTCTCACATCATTCAGCCAGCTTGCTAGGGGAAGAAGGACCAATTTAGGGAGCATGGGTCACTGGCTGAGGGGTTTAAGGGCCCAGGGGCATTTTCCAGGGTACTCACAGCCCACAGTGGACTGACCAGGCCTCACACGTTACTCAGTATCTCCAGATTTGGACCACAGGAAACCAGCCACTTGAGAAGAACGACTGAGACACACTGGAATTCCCGTAACCAGCAGGCTCCAATTGGGGGGAGGCGTGTTTTTCCCATTCACAAACAAAAAAGTGGAATGCAGGGGTGATGGGAAACTTTGACCTTGGCCAGCCAGACTGGAGGGCGGTGCTTCCCTGGAAGCCTGGTCAAAAGGCCCCAGGATCTGAGAGCACGCCAGTGTGCTCCTGTCCAGCCCCACAGTACTGGAAGCAGCAGGACCGAGGATGCGAGAGTCGTTGTCTGCCCCCGCTGTGATGCAGGGCCTCCTTCGGTACTTCTGCCGCAGCCAGGCAGGCCGGAGCCGAGTGGCCTCTGCCGAAAAGCGCCTGTGTGCTCGAGGCACTGCCCTGTGGGACCACATCCGAAACCTGGTGTACAGGGGCAAGGTGGGCCGGCAAGTGGGACTCACTTCCCAGGTGGGCGGGGAAGGGTGGGGGACCTCTCCCCCAGATGTCTCAGACAGCGGCTCCTCATGTCCTTCTGCTTACCCGGTATAGGGGCTGCTTGTCCACGGTTTGCGCCAATTCTGGGGTTTTGAGGGAAGAGGGGCCTGTGATGGTAACTCTTGGGAGGGCAAAGGATTTGTCCTGTTCAACTTGCTTCTTCGTTTCTGTTGTTTCTGAGGAAGGAAGCGTGCCTTCTCCCCTTCCCTGGGCAGCCCAACACAGCACGGCCTGGTGCTGATGCGTGCCCTCGTTGCCTCCAGCCGTACCTGGTCTGGTACGGGCAGAGAGCTCTGGCGCTCCAGAGCTGGGAAGCACTCAGTCATTCTCCTCCTGCCTCCTCTGGAGGAGGCCTGGGACTTACTTTTTCAGGGAAGCATCCCTTAGGAGAGTTCTTTTTCTGGGTGGTTTGTGATTGGCTGGTCGCTCCTCATGGAGCTTGCTTCTCAGGGTAGGGTCCGATGGGCTGGAGAGTGGCCTCTAAAATCTCCTGGGTTAGAAGCAAAATGAGAACTTGTAGCCACACAGCCATCTGAGGGAGGCGGTCTTTCACCCTTGGATGTTCTGTGTTATCCTGACTGTACATTTCAGGTCTTCAGGGATGTTAACCAGTAGAACCTAGAAGGAAACGTAAACCACTAGGATGTGGCAGGTGCAGGCCGAGGACTGGGTGCGCATATCTGGGAAGTGGAGGCAGCTGGGCTCCCTGGCCTGCTCCTGAAGTCCTCCTTGTTTTCCACCTGCACAAGGCCTGGATAGCTATAGTTTCTGGGGTCTCTTGCAGCAGATAAATGTGTGATGCCTGCCCTAAGCTCCTCTCTAGACCTAGCACTGTGCTTAGCACTGTTGCACGCATGCACACATATGTGGGTGTGTCTGTGTCTCACATGTACACAGAAATCATGAGGTGTGGGCCTTGCTCTTAAGCGCCTTGTCTAGTAGTAGAATTATCACATGAAGCAAGCAATAAGAACACAAGGCCATGCATGATGTATGCCACATTTTGTGGTGTTGGACAGTGGCTTCCTGACCTGACTTTGCCCCAGGCACCTGGGGAGGTTTCTACTTGTGCAAATCCCAGGTCTTGTTCAGAAATGTGGGTCTAGTTCTTTGCAAGTACAATTCAGGAAGGTGTTTTATGCTTTTGTTTTGCAGTGCTGGGAATCGAACCCAGGGGCTTGCACATATCACCATGCTCTGCTTGAGCCACATCCTCAGTCCTGGGAGGTGTTTTTTTATTGTTTCGTTTTCACTTTTGGGTTTGTTTTTTTTTTTTTTGCTTTTTGTTTTGAGACAGGGTCTCATTATGTAGCTCAGGCTAGCTTTGAACTCACTCTGTAGCCCAGGCTGGCCTTGAGCTCACAGTGATCCTCTTGCCACAGCCTCCCGAGTGCTGGGATTACAGGTGTGTGCCACCGCGCTTGGCTCTGGGAGGTGTTGTTTTAACAAGAACCCCCCAGCTGCTAATTCACCCAACCCACCCAGGGGTCTCCGCTTTATTCAGGAGCTTCTGATGTAGTGCACTTACCAAAAAGAGGGACAGAGACTTCTCAGATGCCAGAGCTGTAGCCTGTTTATTTAGGTGACACTAAATGGCAGGTTCCTGCTGAACACCTGTTGGGCAGTGCTCTGTGGAGGTAGGCATTAGAGGGGCTTCCTTCCAGCCCCCTCTCCTGTCCGCTGTATGACTTGGGCCTGGGCTCTGTGTCCTTCTGAGCCTGACACTAAGCCATAGGACTGGCCTGGCCTGGAGGCTTTTCTTGCCACAAGCCGGGCCACAGCACAGAGAGAAAACAGCGTCCATGATTCCCTTGGACAGGAGCTCTCTGGTACTATGCCCCCACCCCCGAAGTTGCTGCTGAAATTGGTCTTCCCAAAATGTTCTTTATACCGATTGTTTGCCCTCTGTGGAACATCTTGCAGCACCTTTGACTGACTGATGGTCGGGGGAGCAGGACCTTGGACTCCATCATGGGGGGAGAGGGCCTGTCACTCACACCAGCGTAAGCTCTGCCCCAGGAAGCAAAGGCCTGAGAGCAGTAAGGCCCTGAGTTCCAGGGCTTTCTGACAGGTTATTTCCTGTCTCTGGATCCTTCTTGGTTTCTGGATCAAGGTGCTGTATTCAGGCTCTGCTTCCTAGGTGTGGAGCGGTAGCAGGTGTGGGCTGCCGCCAACCGGCATTTCTGGTTGACACAGGGGCCTCTGCTAATCGTGCCTGCTTGCTTTCAGCTGGACCCCCAGGCCCTACAGGACAGAGACTGGCAGCGGACTGTCATCGCCATGAACGGGGTATGTACTCACTGGCCTCCGTCAGTGCCTGCTTTCCATGGAAGGTTGCAGTGGCCCTGATCCCTCCCAAAGAGCTCAGAAAAAGGCTAAGGCTGAGCTGATGGCTGAGAGGGGAGAGGCACCTACAGAGCAGAAATGCAGTCACAGGCTAGCCCCTGAGCATCCTCCTCAAAAAAGGGCTCATAGTGCCACCTGGCAGTGGGCATCTCAACCCAGGGGGGTCTTTCCATAGAAACTAAGGCCTCTGATTAGGGTCCAGCAGTCCCTGGAACGTGTACACAGGTTGAATATTCCTTACCCAAAATACTTGGGACCAGAAGCATTTCAGGTTTCAGGGGTTTTTTCCCTGATGGGGGAATATAGCCTATATGAAATGACATGGCTGGGGATGGGATCAAAGTCTAAACATGAAATGCATTTCCATTTCATACCTACCTTACATGCACAGACAGACGATAATTGTATGTGTGTTCCCCATCAGCGTAAGGTCAGGTGTGGAACTGTCCACTTGTCCTGTCATGTCAGCACTCAGAACATTTCAGATCGTGGAGTATTTCAGTCTTTCAGGTGAGGGATGCTCAGCATGTTACCCCAGAGGGCAGAGCTAAGCCTAGATTTTGTTTTGTTTTGGTTTGGTTTGGGTTTTTTTCTGGTACTGGGAATCAATCTCATGACCTTGTGCTTGCCAGGCAGGCGCTGTACCGCTGAGCTAAATCCCCAGCCCCTTAAGCCTAGACAATAAAACGTTAATGTTTGGTCATTCTTGGCTTTCTGTTAGTTTTTTGCATTTTTCTCTACCTTTTTTTTGGCAGGGGAGGGTTGAGTCCAAGTCCTCTGATATTCTAAGCATATGCTCAGCCATTATGTCCCTAGTCCCATCTGCTTATTTTCAAAATTTCTTAATAAGAGAAGCCAGGCATGGTGGCGCATGCCTGTAATCCCAGCACTCAGGAGGTTGAAGCAGTAGGATCTTTGTGAGTTCCAGACCAGCCTGGACTACAAAGTGAGCTCAAGGCCAACCTGAACTGCATAGCAAGACCCTGACTCAAAAAAAAAAAAAAAAAAAAAAAAAACGAAGGAAGGAAGAAGAGAGAGAAAGAAAAAAAGGAAGGGAGGGAGGGAAGAAAAAGAAGGAAGGAAAGAAAAGAAAAAAAGAGGGAAAAAGAAAAGCTAGGCATGGTGGAACATTCCTATAGTTCTTCTACTCAAGAGACTGAGGCAGGAGGATCTTAATTTTGATTTCAGCCAGGGCTACATATCAAGATCCTGTCTGAAAAAAACCAACAAGCCAAAAGAAGCAGTGGGGATTATGGGAACTGGTTCTGAAGAAGCCAGTCTTTCTGCCATTTTACCTACTCCTGCCTCTGGCTGAATTGGACAGGGACTTCCCCCAGGCTGGCCTCACCCCACTCTGGGACCTTGATCTGCTTCCCTGGCAGGTGTAAGGATTTGTTGAGACCTCAAGGAGCCCCTGGCACCTCAGGCTGTGAATACCTAAAGAATGAGATGCCCATGCCCTTTCTTCCCACTGCAGATCGAAGTGAAACTGTCAGTCAAGTTCACAAGCAGGGAGTTCAGCTTGAAGAGAATGCCTTCCCGCAAACAGACAGGGGTCTTCGGAGTCAAGATTGCCGTGGTCACCAAGTAAGTTGCAAGGGCTGTGGATTCCTGCTCCAGGGGTGCCTGTCCCTGCAGGCATCTCTGCAGGAAGGAGCAGGCGCAGTTCTCTCTGTGCATGGGGAGGGCTCCAGGGCTCCAGGGAGCACTCCGTGTGCTTAGCTACCTCCTGTGTTTACTGCAAAGCCAGCTCAGGAATGTCCTTCCCTCCTTCCTCTGGCAGCAGTGGGCTGGCTCCTGCCTGACTGCAGGACCTGCCCAAATCCAGGGTTTGCTTCCCTCACTTGGAATTTGTCGGGATCCCAGGTTCCTGTTGAATGATTATAACCCCAGCCCCTTTGTCACGAGTCTGTTGCCAGGAGAGGCCTGTTTGTTGGTTTCTGGGGAGTGGAGGCCACTTCTTCCTGATTTCACTCACTTCATGAGGATGGAAGCCGGCCAGGCTTTGTGGGTTGTCTGGGCTGGAGCCTATGTCGTTTATTCCTCTTACGTCTGCTGGTGTTTCTAAACGCCTCACCTGTCCCCGCACCATTTTGGTGAGGCTCTGGGCATGAGAAAAGTGGACGTTATCCTTGGTTCTCCCAGATAAACACTTCTGATGAGGGTGATTGGTAAAAGAACTTTAATGTGTTTCTAAATCCAGTTGCAAAGCAAAACTAGAGGCCAGGTGTGGTGGCACATGCCTGTGATCCCAGCTGTTGGTAGGCCGAGGCAGAAAGATTGCAAGGTGGAGGTCAGTTTGGGCAAACTCAGTAAGACTGTTTCAGAATAAAAAAGGGCCGGGCATATAGCTTAGTGCTCCCTGAGTTCAATCTCCCATTCGCTCCCACACACACACACAACACAAAATACATAAATAAAAGAAGTACCAAAGGCCTCCAAACAGAATCAGCTTCTATGTTTGATACATTCTTACTCAGGGTCCTAGAAGAAGGTACTGGAATTGTCCTGTTGCTGAGACTCAGAGGAGAAAAGCATTTAGCATTGCAGGGTGATTGGCAGGCCTGTGGAGTCAGCTCTTTCAGCAGATGTTTTTTCAGTGCCTGCCCCATGCAGAGCTCTCCCTTGAGGAGGCCTGGAGGCGCAGGGGGATTCACTGTGCACAGCAGTCAGGTGGAAGGGCCGCTTCCATGTCCAGTCTCCCAGCCTGGAGACAAGACTGCTTTCCAGGAAGCCAATTGCCAGCTGTTAAACTATACCCTGTGGCCAGCTTCACTCAGAAAAGCTTCCTGCAGCTGGGGGTGTAGCTTACTGGTAGAGCATCTGCCTAGCCTGTGCCAGGCAGTCCCCAGCCCTGGTGGAGAGAGAGGAAAAGGGCAGCAGGTGTTCGGCTGCTTCTGGCCGTTAGACAGGCCTTGGTGAAATACATGCAGTAATAATTTGGGTTTACAGGACAAGGACAAACATGCACAAGGCTCTGTATGCAGCCCCAAGCCGGGCACCTTCAACACCTTCCTCGCCCCCATCTCCAGGTGTGCAGATGGGTGGCAGGGCTGCCAGGACACTGAAGACATTTCCTGTCGCCCCACAGGAGAGAACGCTCCAAGGTGCCCTACATCGTACGCCAGTGCGTGGAAGAGATCGAGCGCCGCGGCATGGAGGAGGTGGGCATCTACCGTGTGTCTGGAGTGGCCACCGACATCCAGGCATTGAAGGCAGCCTTTGATGTCAGTAAGTGTCACCCAAGCGATGGAGGCATAGCTGGTGGTGTCCACACTAAGACTCCCAGAGTGTCCTCTTTGACCTTTGCCTGTCACATCATTCTCTGTGTATTTTCTTCATTTCTTGTATTGTTACTTAAAAGTACAAGATGAGCAGAGCATAGTGGCACATGCATATAGTTCCAGTTACTTGTGAAGCTGAGGCAGGAAGATTGCTTAAGCCCAGGAGTTCAAGCCCAACCAAAGCAACGTCAATCCCATCTCAAAAAAAAAAGCTGGTCCTTAAACCATCCTAGCCACGGCTGCCAGATTAGACCAGGAGCTTCGGTGGGATGAGCTGCGGCCCTGGGGTGGACAGGAGGTGCCAAAACCCAGGGGTCTGTGCGTTCTGACCATGCCTCGCTGGAGGATGTGGTGAGGCAGAGGGTATGAACAGGACCCTTCCTGTGCTGTTTCACCGCCTCGCTCACCCTCTCACGCTGTATGAGAGGCAGAAGCATCCCACTTACCAGGGAAGGACACTGAGCCCTCCGCAGATCTTTGCCCAGCATCTTCAAAATGCAGTGGCACAGAACCAGGCCCCGCTTCACAGGGCACCTCCACCCACCTTGTCTGAGGCCCCTGGCGGCCCAGTATCCCCGGGCAGACCTCGCTCCTTCTGGGCAGTGAGCATGGGCCTGGTCTGTGGTATGGACGATCAGTGGCCAACTGGTGGCACCAGATTAAACCCTAAAACGGCTCAAATAATCTTTCCTTTGCAGAGGACACTGGCACCCGGGCATTTGCTCTAAGAAAGGTAGAACTGTCTGATTTCTGCCCACGTGCCAAGTTCTCCGCTGGCCTTGCCGCCTCCTCCTGGCCAGGTGCCTCTACCTCTTCCTGCGACTTCCCCTTCCCCAAGCAGGGTGGGAGGGTGGGGATGCACGCACCTCCCCGGCAGCCCTGCACAGACCCAGAACCATGCAGGTGCTTGGGAGGCGCGTGAGGAGCCAAGGGCCCCTGCGTCGGCCGAGGCAGGGGTTGCGGAAGCCCCAGCTCAGGCCCCATGCGGGAGCGCTCCATCTGCATGCTCTTTTCAGATAACAAGGACGTGTCGGTGATGATGAGCGAGATGGACGTGAACGCCATCGCCGGCACCCTGAAGCTGTACTTCCGCGAGCTGCCCGAGCCCCTCTTCACCGACGAGTTCTACCCCAACTTTGCCGAGGGCATTGGTGAGCACTGGGGGTCTCGGCCTCACGGGAGACATCTCCCCACCCCTGCTTCTGTCTCTGACACCCTTGGGAGAACCTGGGCTGTGCCTCTCTGCCATGTCAGCATTTCAGCCCGACCTGAGAAGCCTGGCTGCATGGGGTGGAAAAAGAACCCGGTCTGTCTTAGAAAGCTCTCCCCATCCTCAGAGGCTGCCTGCTGTCCCCGCCCCCCAATAGCCAAGCAAGTGAAGCGCTGCAGTGCACATGCCCAGGTGCAGCTTCCAGAGTCACAGCCTTCTTTGCTGTAGATCAGGGCTGAATGCATCTTCCCAAACTGGGGGACACCTCGCCTCTCTAACCCCAGGTCCTGGCCCAGTCAGGCAGAAATTCTGGCACAGCCTTGACCCTGCGGGGTGACATCCAAACAAGGGTGCTAGCATATGAGGATGGCTTGCAGCCTCTACATCACCCCTAGGACATGTCTCTCTGCCAGGGCCCATTCAGCAAGGACTTGGTCTCTCCCGCCTGGAAGTGCCTCCAGAGTGCACAGGGCAGTGAGAGAGCCGCTTAGTATCTGCCCAGGCAGGGGCCTTCCACTCTCCTCAACCTGCACAGTGCCTGGACAGTCCGGCACCTTCCAGCACAGGCCCTGGATGCTCCACTGACCACCCTCAGGAGAGGTCTGCAGCCTGCAGTTCTGATCCTGAGAAGTAACACCCTCCCCTTCTGCAGCTCTTTCAGACCCTGTTGCAAAGGAGAGCTGCATGCTCAACCTGCTGCTGTCGCTCCCAGAGGCCAACCTGCTGACCTTCCTCTTTCTGCTGGACCACTTGAAAAGGTACCTCTGGCCTTCCATGGGGACCAAAGGCCCCAGAACCCCAGGGAGCTGGGCGGTGGTTCCCTGGCACCAAGGGCCTTTTCTCCCTCTCCTTCTGCAGTATTCATCCCTCTGGGCCTATCACCATTGCCACCCTCCCCCTTCTGCACATGGCCTTAAGCAAAGAACAGTGCGTTCCAACCCCAGCCAGCAGCATGTTTGGATTCTCACTTCCCCTGGGTCATGCCTCAGAGCTATCTCAGCTGCCTGGTAGCTCAAGGGGCCTTTGTCCTTGGACCCCAAAGCACCAGAGGTGCAGTTTATTTTCGGCACAATCAGAGCTGAGCTCCCTCCTTCCCTGCATAGCTGTACTGTGCCAGCCAGTACAGTACAGGACAGCAAGGGGTGTCACCCGCTGCCACATTTCCTGAGGACCCTAGCAAGACCCAGCTCCTTTGCCTCTGTCCTAACAGTGGTATCAAACCAGTATCCCAGGACCGGGGATTTAGCTCAGCGGCACCGTGCCTGCTTGGCAAGTGTGAGGTCATGAGTTCAATTCCCGGTACTGGGAAAAAAAACAAACCAGTATCCCATCTGGGCGTGGTGGCACACGCCTATAACTCCAGCACTTGGGAGGCTGAGGCAGGAGGAGCGCTACAGGTTCAAGGCCAGCCTAGGCTACATGGTGACTTCAAGGCCAGTCTGAACTACAAAGCAAGATCCTATCTCCAAAATAAAAGAAAACAAAAACCCAAAACAGCATCTTCTGCTTCGGCTGTCTGTAGGGTAGCTGAGAAGGAGACAGTGAACAAGATGTCACTGCACAACCTCGCCACCGTCTTCGGCCCCACACTGCTCCGGCCCTCAGAGAAAGAGAGCAAGCTCCCTGCCAACCCCAGCCAGCCCATCACCATGACTGACAGCTGGTCCCTGGAGGTCATGTCCCAGGTATGGGAAGCGGGCTCTTGCCAATGCCACGCTGGCCTGAAAAGCCGGCCTCTGCCTGCCCCACCCCAAGTCCTGCCGACCATTCCCACCGCCATTGTGTGTGGGCGCTGGCCAGGAATTAGCCAGAGGGCCTGGCCTAAACCCACACGGCTGAGCCAAGGGAGGGCCCTGGCTCTTCCCTCTGTACCTTGCTGGCCTTTGTAGGGCCAAGCCACCTGCTGGTCCTCTGGGTGCTCCTGGCCTGAACTTAACCCCAGCGCACACTTCTTCAGGAACCCGTCCCACCCCAGGTTTCTTACTGCGAGGAGCAAGAAATGTCACCTGAGCTGGTCTTGGGGCGTTGGGCCTGCAGCTGTGAACACTCCTCTGAGCCACTTTCCTCTTCCTCGGCAGGTCCAAGTGTTGCTGTACTTCCTGCAGCTGGAGGCCATCCCCGCGCCAGACAGCAAGAGACAGAGCATCCTGTTTTCCACTGAAGTCTAAAGGCCCAGTATTGTCTCCTTATGCAAGGCCAGCAGAAGTCTAGAAACCTGTGGTGAAATGGGCAGAGCGGGAACCAAACCTTCTCGAGGTGTACTTGGGCCATTCCCAAGAGCAAGGCTGTCGGCCAAGAGAAGTACGAAAAGCAGGACAGGTGGCCTGCTCAAATCTGTGCCCGGGAGGTTTGCAATGGCGGGCTAGCCTTGGGAACTGTGGTTTTCCATACTGCCACCAGAGGGCGCCTCCAGCAAGCATGTCTCCACATGTAGGCCTGGCCCCAGGGAGAGGCAGGCAAGGGAGTGGTTTTTATGAATTTAATTTATCAGAATTTAAAGTATTTCTACTGGATCACTTGTCAAGATGCATCCTCTCCAAAAATAAGGGAACACCACCAGATTCCCTCCCTGTCGTGTCTTGAATAAAGGCTGCTACTGCTTCATACTGGGAGGCGGGAGGGCATCTTGATTTCCCTGATTTAGAAATTCAGCTCCGTTTGTAACAGCGTTTGAGAAGCTAAGTCAACACTGGTGTAGTATTTTGACTCTCTTCACAGCTTGCTTCTTTTTCTTTGTAAGATTTCTGTGCAGAAATGGCCCATTTCCTGCTCTTTCCTGTTGCTTTGTGTTTGCTACTTGTATGCTTCTCGGAGATCAGTTCCACCTGCAGCCATGAAATGCCCAGGAACTAGATACCAGGGAACGGAAGCTCAGGCCACCCACCTTACGGTTCCTTCTCCAGGGGGAATGACGGCGTCCATCGATCCTTACTGCCTGCCTGGCACCCACTCTCCTTTTTGGCTTAAAAGAAAGACCTTGGTTTCCTCTGCTTTCCTCTGCCCGTGCTGTCTTTTCCCCTGCCCCGCACAGATTGCTTCATTTCCTTCCTCCCAGCTGAACAGACTCAGTTAACTTTTATAAAAGTTTCCTCTCCGCAGCAGCAGCTTGCTGACAGCTTATTTTAAAACTTTGATCCGAAATAGCCTTTTGATACTTGAATATTTTTAAGTTTTATACATAGTTTCTAATTTTTTTCCTAACAGATTCAGATACCTAATAAGATATTAGAATGTACTTTGTGGACAAACCATGTCCTGGAAGCATTTGTCTTCCTCTAAGCGCCAGCTCTGTTTTGATCTGGAGTCATTTCTGATGTCTCTGAGCATCGGACACGGGGGTGGGGGGGCTCCTACCCCACAGCAGGAGGAAAGATAGGATGCCTGGGGCCTGCGCTGCCCGTGCTCCCTGCCCCTGTGCCAGAGCTGACCACCAGCTTGGAGAAAAGAAAACTAGGGAAGCCATCAAGTATTTTTAAGAAGCAAACCCATGAATAGTTGCATCACCCTTTTAAAGAGGGGCTTGGGGCAGGGGACGGAAGACAGGAAATAGAAGTAATCCCCATGCTGGTCCTGCAGGGGATGGGATGCTGCCAGCCACGGCAGGGAAGCAGGGCAGGGACTCAGGAAATGTATGTTGGTTGTCACATAAAGGCATCAGTACCCGGTGGGACGCTGTCCCATGACCCTTCTCATGTCTGGGGAGGACGACGTGTCAGTGGGCAGCTTCTACCAAGCCTGCAGCATGTGAGGAAATCCCTGGCAACCAGGGGCCACGCATCCTGCGCTGTTCCCGCTGCTCATGACGCTGCCGAGGCGGCGGGCAGAGCACAGTCACTGACGGTTCTCCATCTGTGTGCGGTGTTCATTTACTTGTGCTTTTTTTGTCATGGAAAGCAGAGCTGCCCTGCTGGGCGGTGAGGCCAGAGACAGCCTCTGCCTCTGCACATTTCTCGGCCTAGGGCACCTCTGGCCTTGCTGCCCATACCCGTCTGTCTCAGCAGCCCTGCCAGGGGAGCACATTTCGCTTAGGAAAGCCCAGGCCTTGTTTCTGTCCCCTCTGGTGTCTCCTGATTTGCGTCTGTCGCCTTGAAACTGGAAAGCAATATTATCAGTGTCTGTGCCAATTCTCATTCCCTCGCCCACCTTCATCCTCTTATTTTTTATTTATATAGGATGTGTGCTATTTAACAATGGAATGACCACTCTCTCTTGTGTAATGGTAAATGCGCTCCTCCACCACCAGGCCGTGGTGCTGGTGGTGGCTTTGGAGCTGGGGCTGCCCCCTCAAGCTGTCTCATGCCTAGCAAGCCTGTGGGTTGGCAAAGCCAGCATGAGACAGGAGAAAATAGTGTTCTCCAGGAGTGGGGAGGGCTCAGCCCTCCTCTGCAAAGGAGGTGAAGGCCCAGAGCCCAGTGCGACTATCCACAATGCTGGTGGCCGGACTTTAATGCAAGAAGTGCTGTTTTCTTGCCTCGGGGCCTGGGAGCGGCAAGCTCCAATTCCTGGCGGCAGCCTGGCCTAACCCCCAGTGGGTGACTGGTCTCTTAGCAGCTGTGATCCTGTGTTTGAGTTCAGCTGTGTGTGTACCACCATGGGGGAAAGGACTGCTGACACTTTTATTAAAGTTACCTGAGACTACTTGAGTTGGTGGTGGTTTCTGGATTATCACAAAAACTATACCCAGAGCCTCTGGGAGGAACCGCTGAGCTTCTGGGATAGGGTTGGGGTGGGCAGCAGGTACAGAGAGAGGCTGGGTCCCCAGGTGGCTATGCTGGTCAGTCAGCCACCAGCGCTCACTGCTGCAGGAAGCCAGGCCTGGGTGCCCTTAGGCAGATACTAGCCAGGCAACACCAGGACGCAGGAGCAGTGGTGATCCCAGGAGTGTGGACAAGGGACTGATTTGTTCAGGGACTGTGGCCTTGACCAAGCGGAAGAAGAGAAGCCTTTGCGAGATGTATTCCCAGCCCTGTAGGTAGGACAGATGGCAGCCAGGGCAGCCAGCCTGTGCTCCATTACCCCACTGGGCCCAGAGGCAGGGAGGGCTCTGGCCATACACAAGCTGCTCCCGGTTCTCACCAGTGGCCACTGCCCCGGGGTGAGCCCCGCCATCTTAGGTCATGTCTCCTGGGACTACAGTGGTGGAGTTGCTGGCCTGCAGAGGGGACTTGGCCATTCTTAGCCATTTCCGCCCTTGCCCTCAGAAGCCTGCCAGATTACGCGGAAGCCGCAGCAGCAGACGGGCCTGCCACATCACGCTCTGTGATGGTCTTGAGAACAGGGCTCCATCTCCTCAGCCATCAAATTGTCCTTGGCACTGCCTGCATCAGGTCACCCTGAGGCCCCCTAGGGAAGGAAGGCTCACCTGCCCAAGTGCAAGTAGCCAGTGAGGTGACCACAGCGTGGGTGAGCCCTGCCTTAGTTGAGTTCCCCCATTCTCATCAGCTCCCTGGTTATCCCTGCCAGGGGACAAGGGGAGGTGGTTACATGATAGGCTGCCTGTTACATGGTGACTTTTCAGCCTGTCTCCAGACATAAGCAGCGTGGAGCGTCACTGTCACCACTGTTATTGCACTGGAAGTGGGAAGTGAAGTTGTAGAAGTGCCTGGGGAGAGACTGAGCTGATGGCAGCCGCCCTCCAGTGAGCTGGTGGAGGTCTCACCCCGGGATCCACAAGGCTGAGTCTGGGATTTCCTGAAGCCTCGGGAGCCCCGCCCCCCCCCCAGGTTTAAGCGTTGACACCCGGTCCTGCCCTGATAGGAAAAGCTGCTTGTACAAAGAACATTAGTCCGAGCTGGTGTCTCTTCACCGGGAAAGGGCTGCCACTGGCACACGCTGAGCGTCCAGTCCCTTAGAAAGTTATAGGTAGTGTCCTTTACCTGTATCTGCCTGGTCCTCTTTGGAAAACCTGTAGCCTATTTGCATCTCTCTTAGTAGTCGATTTTTCAGGCAAGGGTTGACCTCTTCCTACCATGTTTCTGCGAGCGGGGGTTGGATCTGGCCCAACCCAGGCCGGTAGCATGGCCCAAGAAGCAGGACTTCACTGACGCCTCACGTCTGAGGCTGACACCTCAGAGAGCTCCCAGAGGCTTCCTAATCCACCCTCCTGGTAGCCAGGGAAACCAAGGCACACAAAACATCCCCATTCCACTTGACATCCCAGACGTGGTCTGTGAGCAGGGTGGGGTCCCCATGTCTTGACGTTCCCTGCCGCCAAACTCACCACCTTTTTGCTGGACAAAATGAGACAGGGCCTGGACGTGACTGTGCTGAGGTGGAGCCACAACCTGAGAGCTGGCATCATGCCCTCTTTGAAGAAGGGAAACCAGAATTTCATATAGGATCTCTGAGGGACTTTTACACTCGCCCTCAAGAAAGCCCCAGTTGGGGCTGGGGATTTAGCTCAGCGGCAAAGCACCTGCCTGGCAAGTGCAAGGTTGTGAGTTCGGTTCCCGGTACCGAAGAAAAACCAAAAACCAAAAAAAAAAAAAAAAGAAAGCCCCAGTTGACCTAAAAGGAAGCAGTTAGAGGGGCTAATGATGGGCTGTCACAGATAGTTATAGCAAGATAAACAGTGAGGGGGTGGGAAACACTCTGCTCTTGAAGAGGCTCAGATGGCCCCGGAGCAGTGGCCACGGTCAGCGGGCAGGAGGAGGAACACTTCTGGCAGAAGGAACTGCCAGACCCAGGGTGGGAGGTGCTGGAGCCCCGTTGGCCTAACGAGTGGGAAAGAACTGCCAGGCGGTGGGTCGGCTACCAGGCAGAGCCTTGCGTCACCCCAGTTCTCACAGGAAGGCCAGCCAGGGAAGTGACAAGGACAGGCATGCACATAAACGGGTTCCAGGGAGAAAGATCCTGCTGCATCTCAGCTATGACCAGACGGGAAAGGGGTCCAGCTGCTCGGGGGAAGACAGTGCCAAGAGCCGTAAACCGGGCAGCCTGGCTCCAAAGCCCACAGCAGTATGTTCCAAGCAAGGCCTCCTCTGGCCCCTTCTCCACCTTCAGCAGAGGGCCCCAGAGGCCCCCAGTCCTTAATTAAGGCTCAGTCCACATACCATGTTCCCCTTCTTTTCCCGTCACTGCAACTGGGTGGGGCCCGGCCAGAAACTCGCCATTAACGTTTTCAGTCCCTGTGAAAACAGGACTCCTTCAAAAGCCGGGTGTGGTGGCGCACAAAATCCCAGCACTTGGGAGGCTGAGGCAGGAGGATTGTTGGGTCCAGCCTGGGCTACAAAGTGAGCTGAAGGCCAGCCTGAACTGCAGAGCTAGACCCTGTCTCAAAAAAAACAAAAAAAAAACCATGACTCCACCGTGAGGCTGTGTATCCGTGATTCTGGTCATGGTCAAAGAAAGGGGCCTAAAGAAGAAGGCCCAAACAAGTTCCTGTCCCCACGGAGTTGCTGGCTCAGCAGCTACCAGAAGAGAAGGCCCCAGAATGGCAGGCAGACAAGGGTAACCTAAGCCACCCAGATAAAGGCCCTCTCCCAGCGGCATAATGAGCATGGACAGATGGACCTCCAAACCCCGCCGCACAGCCCGTGCTGCCTTGCGGACTGAGTGCCCCAACTCCCATCTGCGGAGGTCCAGCCTCCAGTGACCCAACCTGCCGCAGTTCCTGCTGCTAGGTTCCGGGCACAATGGGGCCAGATGAAGGGGGAGAGAAACAACAACAGTGGGTACAGGAATTGTTGCTGTTTCTTCTGTTTTCTAAAAACTATTTAAAACACTGGAGGCGAGGGAGTAATCAAAAGTTATTTGGAAAGAGCTAAGGTGTCTCAGAGCTTTGTGTTCTCCATGAGAACATCCAGAGCTGTGGAATTGCAGCTAATTCCTCTTCAGCCTGGCTGCCATTGCCCATGCCCTCTCATGCTCCTTCCTAGCTGCCTTGGGGTTTTCTAGGCTCTCCATTCTAAGGCTATTAGGGACTGAACTGTGTCTCATTCCCTTTCCCCTCCCTCAATTCATATATTGAAGCCCCAGCTCTCAATGTGGTTGTACTAGAGATGGGTCTCTAAGGTAGTGACTAAGGTTAGGAAGTCACAAAGGCGGGGCCCTAATCCAATAGGGCTGGTGGCCTTCCCACCCCCTTGGTACTGGGGACTGAACCTAGGGGCTTCACATCCCCAGCCCTTTTTATTTTTTATTTTGCAATAGGGTCTCACTAAGTCACTAAATTGCCCAGGCTGGGGCTCAAACTTGCAATCCTCCTGCCACAGCATTTTGGTTTTGGTACCGGGAATCAAACTCATGACCTCATGCTTGCCAGGCAGGCACTGATTTTTACTATGTAGTCTAGGTTTGCCTTGAAATTACTATGTAGACCAAGCTGGCCTCAAACTTGAGATCCTCCTGCCTCAGCCTTCTGAGATAAGGATTACAGGAATGTATGCCCAGCTGACTGGTGTCTTTATAAGCAGAAAGAACACAGAACAACCCATGTGAGGACACAACGAGAAGGAGGCATCTATGAACCAGGAAGTGGGGCCTCAGGAGAAACCTACTTGATGGCACATTTGTCTTGGACTTTTGGCTTCTAGACCTGTGAGGAAATAAGTGGCCACAGTGTAGGCTGTGCTATTTGTCATGACTGCCCTGACAAATACAGGGGCTTTGGGCCTCTTTTCTGACCGTTCCATGTGGAAACAGCTCTGAACCCTGTGTCTCCCTTTTCCCTCCTCTCACTGCTCTGTATTCATGACTGTCTCTGAAACCTCAGGTATCAGCTGACCGCACAGAAGGCGGGGAGCTGTCTCTTTCCTCAGAAACGCCAGTGAGCCTCTGGGACAGACCTCCCATGTGGCCTCCTTTTCCTAAGGTCAAGCCAAATCAATCCCTTGCAGTTTGTGATCACCTGGAGGCGCCTAACTACAGCCACTGTCCAGGCAGGGAACGTGGAGAGACATCCCCAGCTTTAGCCCACAAGTCTGGTTGTTCTGCTGCAGAGGTTCCCCACGCCATGGAGCTCTGTAGATGCCCAAAGCCTCAGAGCGGCCTCAGACCCCTCGGCTGCTCCATCTCATGCCCCTCTGCCCCAAGAGCTCCTGTGACTCCCAGGCCAAGCCGCCCAGGAGCAGCAAGGGCCAGGAGGTTGGGTGGAGCTGACCTAGTTTGTGATAATTTTCTAGCGCAACCATATAAAACTAGAACCATCACACAGCTAATAAGTCAAGAGCCCACAGGCAGCACACAGCTTTCCAACTCCGGTGTCCCCTCCTCCGGGCAAACAGCCATTAGCGCCTCCTGTGTGCCGGGATGTAGGCCGGAGGGGCCAGAGCGTGGGCTGTGGTCAGATACAGTGGTCATCTCTGCACTTCGCAGGGGTTCAGCACAGTGTAGGCTTGAGGCGAGGGCTCAGCCTATCTGGGGGCTTTAGTCAGTGTCTACCAGCCCTTCCCCCACGACCGCCCCTGCCCACAAAGGCCCCTAAGGAAGTGGAGAAAGCCTTTCCCTCCTGTGTCCTTACTCATCTCCACCTGTGTTCACACCCTTCTTAGCCCTGGCTCCACCTGGCAAGTACATCCCCCCTCAGGTCAGAATCCCATTGCTTTGTCCTCACAAACACTCTCGGCTTGTTTTTAGCTATCAGGGAGCGTGAGGGGGCTGGGGATGCGGCTCAGTGGTAGAGCACTTGCCTAGGGTACATTAG